CAACCACATCTGCTAGGAAAATGATAGGATGGATAAAGAGAACCTTCAAAACTAGGGACGCCAAGCCCAGGATAATTCTCTTCAAATCACTTGTTCTCTCTAGGCTGGAATATTGCTGTACACTAACTGCCCCCTTTCAAAGCATGTAAATTGCAGACTTTAAGAATATATAGGGAACTTTCATGGCATGTATAAGTACGATAAAGCATCTAAATTATTGGGAACGGTCAACCGTCAACGGTCAACCGTCAACGGTCAACCGTCTCTTGATTTGTATTCCCTGGAACGCAGACGAGAACGATATATGATAATATACACTTGGAAAATCCTACAGGGAAATAATCCCGAATCTGCACATGAAAATCGCTCCCTACGAAAGCAAAAGACACTGGATGAGATAAAACATTCCCTCAATGAAAAGCAGGAGCGCCACTAAGAGATAACACAATAAGTGTCAGGGGCCCAAGATTGCTCAACTGCCTCCTAGTATGCATTAGGGGGATTACCTATAGACCCCTGGTTGTTTTCAAGAAGGCCCTGGACAGACACCTCAAGTCAGTCCCTGACCAGCCGGGCTGTGCTTCGTGCATCGGTTTACGTGCGGCCAGCAGCAACAGCCTGGTTGATCAGGCGCTGATCCACCACGATGTCTGATCATGGACTCGGCCGCGGGAGCGTTGACCCCTTCCAGGTATACTCCAGGTAGAAGTGAAGAGATGTATTCAAGGAACACTAACCTGGAATAAAGGAACGTGTGTTGAGCAGTTGTGTTGTACCTCACAGCTCGTCTGCCCAACCTCACAGCTCGTCTGCCCAACCTCACAGCTCGTCTGCCCAACCTCACAGCTCGTCCGCCCAACCTCACAGCTCGTCTGCCCAACCTCACAGCTGACTACAAACGCCCTGACGAACCATGCACAAGTCTCCTATATACCATCCTTCCCCCACCAATCCCTCCTATCCCCTCCCTCCTCCATTCCCCACTCATCCATCCAGTTCCTGGGCAAACATTGACGGAGTCTCCAGTTCGTCCCTTCCCTTCAAGATACTCAGGTACCCCATCAAGTTAGGGGCGTTGACTTGGTAAGGTGGTACGGCTCTTGTGATGACAGCTGTTCTCATCAACAAGCTGGAAGATAATGGTGGCGGGACTAGTTGTGGTAACAATGGTGATGGTGGGACTGGTTGTGGTAGGAATGGTTAAAAATGGAAACTGATTGTGGTAGGAATGGTTAAAATTAATGGTGGTGGCTGGACTGTATGTAGTAGGAAAAACCAGGAATAGTTGTGGAGGGAAAGGTTTTCTTTCCACAAGACTTAAACTACAACATACCAGTTGTCAACACTAGACTCCATCTATCACCTCTCCAACCACAACATACCAGTTGTTAACACTAGACTGCATCTATCACCTCTCCAACCACAACATACCAGTTGTCAACACTGGACTGCATCTATCACTCTCCAACACACATACCCAGTTGTCAACACTGGACTCCATCTATCACCTCTCCAACCACAACATACCAGTTGTCAACACTGGACTGCATCTATCACCTCTCCAACCACAACATACCAGTTGTAAACACTGGACTGCATCTATCACCTCTCCAACCACAACATACCAGTTGTCAACACTGGACTGCATCTATCACCTCTCCAACCACAACATACCAGTTGTCAACACTGGATCTCATCTATCACCTCTCCAACCACAACATACCAGTTGTCAACACTGGACTGCATCTATCACCTCTCCAACCACAACATACCAGTTGTCAACACTGGACTCCATCTATCACCTCTCCAACCACAACAACCAGTTGTCAACACTGGACTCCATCTATCACCTCTCCAACCACAACATACCAGTTGTCAACACTGGACTCCATCTATCACCTCTCCAACCACAACATACCAGTTGTCAACACTGGACTCCATCTATCACCTCTCCAACCACAACATACCAGTTGTAAACACTGGACTGCATCTATCAACTCTCCAACCACAACATAAATTGATCAAAATCATATTAGAGTTCCCTCGCGTCCTTAAAAATTTTATTTTTTATGCATGTGTTGTCAATGAACATTTTTCACTTAAAAATACTGTCGTTTAGGCCGTTAATGTAAATTCTGAACAGCGAAGGGTCCAGCAGAGATCCTTGTGGAACGCCACTCGTGACTGGTCCCCATTCTGAGTTCTCATTTATGTAAACTCGCAATGCCTTTCTGTCAACCATTCAGAAGTCACGAGAATTTTTTTCTCAGTGTTTTGTGTGGCACCTTATCAAAGATCTTAGTTTATATATAAACATACTGCTTTTATACTGTCCACAGCCTCAAATAACTATGTGAGGAGGTAATAAGGTTGAACAACGTCCATTAATAATAATAATTGAACATTAAAATGGTATAAAATACCGACAGGTTGTTAGGTAAGAAACAATATGTTTCAGACTATGGAACAATGCTCTTCTCCAGACTGAGGACTGACCACCTCAAACTTTAAGGCTGATGGACTGATTACATCGTCTTCAAGTCTCTTCTGCTTCTTTCAACTTTTCTATACTCGACTGAAGAAGCCTACTATGTAGGCGAAACGTTTCGAAATAAGGATACCTAACTGTTGCACATATGTCTTACCTAACAACAATGATGATAATAATAATAATAATAATAATAATAATAATAATAATAATCTATATTTCTACCAGTACATGATACAACTTATACAGACCATAGCTGACATCACTGACATACTATATAGAAAGTACCTGGTTATGCAGAGCATTTCTGGCAGCTTTGGTTAATCTTGTCCCCCAGGATGCGACCCATACCAGTCGGTTAACACCCAGGTACCTAGTTACTGCTAGATGAACAGGGACAGCTGGTATTAGGAAACATGCCAACGTTCTCCACGTACCGGTGGTGGTTGAGATGGTGGTGGTGTTGTCGTGGTAGTGGTGGTTGAGATGGTGGTGGTGGTGGTGTTTGTCGTGGTAGTGGTGGTTGAGATGGTGGTGGTGGTGGTAGTGGTGTTAGTAGTCGTGATAGCGGTGATGGTTAAGAGGGTGGTGGTAGTGGTGTTAGTAGTGGTAGTGGTGGTTAAGATGGTAGTGGTAGTGGTGGTTAAGATGGTAGTGGTAGTAACACTGACGTTAGTAGTAGTGGTAGTGGTGGTTAAGATGGTAGTGGTAGTGGTGGTTAAGATGGTAGTGGTAGTAACACTGACGTTAGTAGTAGTGGTAGTGGTGGTTAAGATGGTAGTGGTAGTAGTGGTTAAGATGGTAGTGGTAGTGGTGGTTAAGATGGTAGTGGTAGTGGTGGTTAAGATGGTAGTGGTGGTTAAGATGGTAGTGGTAGTGGTGGTTAAGATGGTAGTGGTAGTAACACTGATGTTAGTAGTAGTGGTAGTGGTGGTTAGATGGTAGTGGTAGTAGTGGTTAAGATGGTAGTGGTATGTGGTGGTTAAGATGGTAGTGGTAGTGGTGGTTAAGATGGTAGTGGTGGTTAAGATGGTATGGGGTTAAGATGGTAGTGGTAGTGGTGGTTAAGATGGTAGTGGTAGTAACACTGATGTTAGTAGTAGTGGTAGTGGTGGTTAAGATGGTAGTGGTAGTAACACTGATGTTAGTAGTAGTGGTAGTGGTGGTTAAGATGGTAGTGATAGTAACACTGATGTTAGTAGTAGTGGTAGTGGTGGTTGAGATAGTGGTAGGTGTTCCTCTCCAATAAATAGAATTTTCTAGAATAAACTGCAAAAGTGCTGATGTTTATTGCTTGTGTTTATTCTGAGGTGATAACATCAGAGGTTTATTCCTCATAAAACACAAAGAAAACATAATGTGTGTGTGTGTGTGTGTGTGTGTGTGTGCAAAGGTATGTCACTGTGTTTATATATTCAACACTAGTGTTTGTGTAGTGTTTGTTTTACAAGTAAACACACACACACACACACAAAACATCACGTCGTGTGGTGTAATTTAAAATTTTTGACGTGGTGGGGGTGTAAGCCAGCAGAAATTCTCGGTCATATGACCAAAAGGTCTGTGAGTGGTTCATCTTATCACTAAGCTTCACGTAACCAGCTGAAAGCTTCGGTCATATGACCCAAAAGGTCTGTGAGTGGTTCATCTCATCACTAAGCTTCACGTAGACCAGCTGAAAGCTTCGGTCATATGA